ACCACCAGCACCTACCACAACAGACCCAATCACAACCCCAACCCCAACACCACCAACCACAACAGACCCAGGCACAACGCCGACGCCGACGCCACCAACCACAACCCTGACCCCGACCACTCCCACCACCACAACTCCTACATCATCAGGTGGAACTTGGTGTACTGCCAGCCAAGCAGCTTCACAAACTGCCTTACAGGTAGCTCTTGATTATGCTTGTGGCTATGGAGGTGCAGACTGTGCCGCTGTTCAACAAGGCGGAAGCTGTTATAACCCAAACACTCTCCGTGATCATGCTTCCTATGCCTTCAATGATTACTACCACAAGAACCCAGCTCCTACTAGCTGCAATTTTGGAGGAACAGCTCAAATCACCAACACTGACCCAAGTAAGACTTTTTCATCAAATTAAGTCCTATCAAGCAACATTGCTAAAATATCTAAAAATGTGGATTGAACCTTATAGCTTGTCCGAACTTTCACTGAAAAAAAAAGGAAAAAAAAAAAAAAGGAAGCTTCCTCCGTACAGAAAATGTACCTGTACAATATCATAAATAGAACCCTCTTTCTTTTAATTACAAAGATCTTGTTGAATGTTCTATCCAGCTATAGCTTCCTAGCTCTTTTGCCAAAAGTTTCAGGTCCGCCACTGAACAAATTCAACTTCCTGACCTTGTTGTTCTTACGTGCTTGAATAGATGCTTAACTCTCTCTACTCTGTCTTATTGCAGGTACCGGTAGCTGTCGCTATCCATCATCCACAGCATCAACCAGGTAATCTATCATAACCCCACGTCCAACTTCATTTATGAACACATCAAGTGAAAAGAAATCTTATTCGAGTTTCCAATTTCAGCACATATTCACCAGTTAACCCGCCACCGCCACCCCCAACAACGATGACAACACCAACAATGCCGACAACTCCATACACCCCAAGCATTGCTACACCAGGTGGATCTACAATTTATGGTTCGGAACCAACAGAGTCCCCCAACTCAGCCACCTCCATCTCATCTTGCATGCTGCTGCTATTCACCACGACTGGGCTCTTGGGGTCACTTCTTGCAGCAAATTATCTCTAAAAGAAAACTAAGTTACAACTATTCTATCTGCAATTAGATGGTAATCCATTCACTTGCCAGCATCCTACATAAAGTTCAAGGAGGCACTGAGAATCAAAACGAGCTACTATGTTATCTCCAGGCCTCGTTCACACCGTTTAAATTATTGCCATACTTCATCTATGTACACCCATTAGTAGCCTATTAAGCCTGAGAAAAGGACAGAAAAGCATAGAAATTTTTTAGGTTCTTGTATTTGTAGACATATAGGTTCTTTATCTGCAGTTTTAGTACAATAAATTTTTAATTATTAGCTAAGTCCACCAGGCTTTAGAACTTTTTTTATTTTTATATAAAATGATAAGATGCTTATTACATATATTAGCTAGCACAATTTAAAATTTTATCATGCCAATGGATAACACAAATATAGAAACTATGACAGAGTAATAGGTGTAGTTATCAAAAGTTATTGACCTAACTAGAAACAATGGATGTAGCGTAGTTGGTAAAAAGGAATGACCTATGGCTTATCTGGTAGTAAGACATTAGATACTTAAAAAGAACCAATTTATTCAAATATAGGGTATGTTTCCCCTTCACCAACAAATAAAAATGCCTTCTTGAGATACAACACATAAAAATTTGACCTAACACGCACACTCGCCATTACAAGTACTTTCTTGGAGGATGAAGACGACAACAGATCCCTACGTTCTTCTTCATTGTCTACATTTAATAAAATCATGCTCAATCCATATTATTAACTTTCATTCTAGATTCCAATATAATCATCAAAGGAATTTATAGAATTTTGTGCATTCAAATGGCTAGGTAGCGACCAAGGCTGTAACATGCCAATTCCACGATCTCTATCATATCCCAAAATGGCATCACTTAACCCCAAAATGCAGTACTCCAAACCAAAAGGAAAAATACTAAAACTAGGCAAGAAGAGAATCGTTGTGCTCATGGAAAGACCAATTTGATCACTAACTTAACAAGCACGAAAACAAGATGCACAATGCACAAAGATTGATTTAAGTTAATTCTACCTTAGTGGCCTAAACTGAAGCATTTGATGTTTCTTGGCATCAGACAACTATCTCTTTTACATGTATATACGAATAATTCATGAGTAGATCAGAGGAAAGATTACACTAGTTGACAAGATTTCCTTATATTGACAAAACATGAATAAATACTGAGAACTTTATTTATTTTATTGTATCTGTCAAGCTTTCCTAAACCCTCACACATATATCTAACATGAGAATGAAAGGTTCGTAGATCATGACTGTTCTTAGGCTTCCACCCCCTTCAGATGAGTCCATAAGGCAGATATGGTTGATAACTCTTTAATATTTTACAATAAACTCAGAACAGGAGAAGGCCTGACACAGCAGTGATAGAAATTATGGCTAAGGTAGCAACAATTGAACCTCGGTCAAATGATTTCTGCAAGGTTCCTATTCGTGAGAAATGCTGGAAAGCCAAATATGCTGCAATAACCAGTGAAATAATAGCACCTTCTTGTCTTCCCCTGACAATGAAACATATTGAAACATAACAACTAAGAAAATTATAAATAATGGTCAAGGTTGGTCTCACACAATGCATTTGCCTACCTTATGTTCGTAACTTGGTAAGGAGCCACAATCACCAGGAGTAATGCTACCAATGGCAACTCAAGTTCGGCTGCAAAAGAACAAAATGAGACCGTACATAATATTACTTGACAGAGGTAATTGTAAGTAAATATTACCGCACCTCAAATTTCAAATTGAAAGTAGAAAACAGAACAAGACTTAGAGAAGTGCCAAGTAACCACTCCATAATATGCGAACCAAAACAAGAATTCAGATTTCACACTAAACCATATAAGGGTCAGTATTCTTTAAAAACTGGGCAGAATCTTCAATTAATATTGAGCTGTTTATAGGAATAGTGCCCAAATAAGGGTAGATTACACTGAATGGGTTGTTGCCCACTGGTGAATCAAGTAAACCAATAAAGTCAACAAACCAGGCAGAAATTAGAAACTATCATTTGAGAAAACCAGATAACTATCTATCTAGAGATTTATCTATCCTACACTCAAAACAAGGAATCAAAAGAGAACCTACCAGGAATAAAGAAGAAGAGGCGAACAAGAAGTGCTAAGAATGCAGTCCAGATACCATATTCGCCCCTGCAAGCCAAAATCATGTATGTCAGCCAAGTTATGCATTTAAACTTAAATGGCAGACGTGGTCCATAGGTTACCAAGAAAAAAGAAAAAAGAAAAAAACTTTAATGCAATCAAAAACTGAAGAAAAAGACAAAAAAGGAGAAAGAGAAGTTTTTGAAAGGCTTACTTAAACCATGAGATTACAGTGGATGGTGCTTGTAGAACAAACAATGGAACAAGAAATGATTTTTGAACAGCAGTGCCTTTTGCAAGCAGTAGAACCCTGGAAATGTAACAAAATTGAATACCCATTAACGCATACTCCATCACACTCAAGATTCCATTACTAAAATTGGAAATCTTTCAAGGAAATTCAAAAACAAAAAAAAGGGGGTCAGAGAGAGAGTTACGCAGAAGAAATGGTGGAGATCCACTGGAGGCTATGAACAGTGAGAGGTGCAGCGTAACATACGGCACCCGATCCCATGCTCTTCTTCTTCTTCTTCAGCACCCCGAGATCATTACTTCCACCAATCGAAACTCTACCCGTAAAACAAAACCAGAGATTTGCATTCAATTTCAACGTCAACAATTGAAATTTGAAACCTTGAATGTGAAATTACAAAATTACCTGAGAGGGTTATAGTGGAGTGAGCTGGAGGTGCGATCAAGAACAAGACTAGAGAGCTTGGCCGGCCTGGGTTGAGAGACGGAGAACTTGGTGCTGCTCCCGATGCTGTAGAGAGAGAAAGTCTGTGGTGCCGTGGAGTAGAGTGAGAGGCTCGCCATTCTCATATCTTGCTCTGCTTTTTCTTTTTGGCTCCAGCGCAGAGACAAACAAACAAACACTGGCGTGTAGAGTGAGAGAGTGAGAGTGAGATTGGAAGGTGGTGGAGGACACAATGATTTATTTACCGTAATTCACTATTTCCGGGCAAATAATTTGGATCCACGTGTTCGGTTTGCGGTTCTCCTAGGACGGATCGTTGAGGTAGTCATCTGATTAATATAAATATTTAATAGTTTTGATATAATGATATTCTAAACTACTCTAACATCTAATATACGGAGATTGAGATCGAATTTCTCTATGTTGATGTAAGGTATGATATAAATTGAATTGCATAAGGAAAGAGAGAAATTAAGCGACGAAAAAATATGTAAGCCATCGATAGTAACACGAAGACGGGTGAAATTTTTCTTATTTGGTTATTATAAATGCATAAATAGGCAGTTTAACTGTAGTAAGCCAAATATGGCTCAATTTTTCTTGGTGGAACTATAAATTTTTGTTGAGACAGAAAACACACGTGAACTGTCTACTCAGTTTGAGATATCTTCGCGAAAATACCAATGGATAGATTGGACGTTGTACCAAACTTATTTTTGTTGCATGGGGCGGTTGCCCCCACTTGCCACAACATGAACAAGATATTTGTTCTTGTGTATCAAGGGTAGATTTGATATTTCCTATTATAATGGCTGACCTAACCTCATCTCTTAACGGTGGCTGTGCGTGCAGAGAAAACAGGTGTAAAATAACCAATCTTTAACTGTTCTGCTGAACAAAATTAACCTTTTTTAACCTCCCAAAACCAACCAACTTCTAGTCAGTTAAATACTTGTTCAAGGCATTTACCGTGGCCAAAAGCTAAACGACATCACGTTCAAACCAGCTGCTTGCTTGCTGCTGTATGCGTCTGAATATATACCACCAAATTAAACTTGTATGAACTTCCGAGCTTTGTTGTGGTGGCCGTGGCAAAATGTCGTTGTACGAAGCGTTGGCTAATACTACGGTGACAATATGCACCGATCTTCCGTTTCGTGTAAATTCGCTTGGGTTGTGGAACAGATCGGAAAGGTGGACGGTGAATGCTACTACTCCGTTGGTGAATTTCTCGTTTCCTCTGCAGAATTACACGATGCCAATCCTGGAGTTTGAAATGACTCTCATGTTTGTTCTCACCGAGCTCACCCATCTCTTTCTCAAGATCTTTGGCCTTCCTGCTTTGGCCGCTCAACTTGTGGTAAGTACTACATATTTCTCACGTGCTTTAATTCTCTCCTTATTAATATCCTTTTAGTTTCATCTTTATACATGGTCTCGTCTCCGCATATTAAAGTTAAACAATTGTAGATGCATGTGAATCTCAAAATAGTATATTTTTTGTCATCACTAAAGTTGTCTTTAGAGAGATGGTAATGAGATCAATTGGCTTCGGGAATTGCAGGATGTGAGATGGCTAATCCATGTAAATTCGTTCGTCATGACTGTCTCACATCCAGCAAAATGCGTTCCAGCTTTTGAAGTTTTTATTTATTTATCATAAAACTAAAATGTACGCTTCAAATTTACGAGTAAATTATGAATGTATTTTCTCTTTTGGTGGAACCATGCAGGCAGGAATACTCCTTGGTGATGCAGGACTTTCCCGAATAGTCAAATCATCTAGTCATCACGATGTGAATCCCATATTTCCTTTTGCCAATCAAGAAATACTCAACATAATGTCTCTATTTGGCTACATATTTTTTTCCTTCTTGATCGGAGTCAAATTGAACTTGGGGTTAATACCTAAATCCGGAAAAAAAGCCCTCTACACGGGCGCATTAAGCCTGTCAGTGCCTATAGTAGCCGGCGTCGGTACCATAATCCTCCTTCACTCTAAATGGTTCTTAAATGGACAAGAAATTGTGCAGCTTGCGTTTCTAACAGCAATGCACTCTCTAACTCCCTCTCCCGTCGTAGTTTGTCTTCTCACCGATCTCAAAATCCTGAACTCCGAGCTTGGCCGGTTAGCGTTGTCTTCGGCTCTTGTCAGCGACCTCTGTAGCATTGCCATCACCAGCGTTGCAGCAATGGCAGCAGCTGTGCAACAAAATATCCTCAAAGGGATACGGGACATAGTGGTAATGGTAGCCTACACTTTATTTGTTTGGCTTGTTTTTCGACCATTTATGTTTTGGATTGCTAAACGAACACCTAAAGGCAAGCCTATCAAAGACTCGTACGTTGTCCTAATCATGTTGGCTTTTCTCGGATCTGCGTTGCTTTCCAATTGGTGTGAGCTGTCTTTTATCATCGGACCTTTGATGTTGGGTTTTGCCGTGCCAGATGGGCCACCAGTAGGAGCTACTTTGGTCAACAAGTTTGACTTTATGGTCAATAGGGTTTTTATGCCAGTTTTTGCGACCACGTCCATGATGAGGGTTACAATGTCCCTGCCTAAGGCTCACAAAAGGACAGTTTTAGCCGCCACAATTGTTACTTCTGTAGTTTACTGCAGCAAATTTGTAGCTTCTTTGGTGATCCCTTTGTGTTGCAAGATGCATATGAGGGATGCTATAGCGCTGGCTCTCATTTTGTGTAGCAAAGGCGTTGTTGAGTTAGGCGCGTACACCTTTGCTAGCGACACTTGGGTAAGCTTTTCATATGAATTCAACTTCTCTTTAACAATAATATTATGTGACACGCCGATGTGTTGTTTGTCACATGCTAATTGTTTCATTTATCACTGGCTCTCTAAAAAAAGTAGAACTCTCACTCACATTAATTCATGTTTTCTTGCACGCGAATTTACTAACTATGGTTTTCAATATTGTTTCTTTGTCATGTGCAGATAATATTTTCCGAAGTCTTTGATTATATGATGTTAACCGTTGTGTTATGTGTACTCATCGTCCCACCTCTTATAAGACTCTTGTACGATCCTAAGAGAAAATACGTAGGCTATCAAAAAAGAAACCTTATGCATTGGAAACCCAATTCCGAGCTCCGAATCCTTGCATGCATCAACAGAGCTGATAACACCCCTGCCATAATTAACTTTCTTGATGCTTCGTGCCCAACCCGGGATAGCCCCATTGCCGTCTATGTTCTTCACCTCGTCAAGCTAGTTGGTCGAGCCGCCCCCATCCTAATTTCCCACAATCTACAAAAGATAACCCTTTCAAACAATTCACTCTCTGAGAACGTCATTATTTCCTTCTCCAACTTTCAGAGAGACAACGAAGGAGCTATTTTTGCACAAGTCTTTACGGCAATCACTCAACCACACTACATGCACGACGACATATGCACCCTCGCTATAGACAAAGCAACGTCCCTTATAATCCTCCCATTCCATCGAAAGTGGTCGAGAGTCAACGGGTCAATTGAGTCAGAAAACCAAAACACAAGGACACTCAATTGTAGAGTGCTCGAAACAGCGCCGTGCTCGGTTGGCATCCTTGTCAACCGTGGTCACGTAAAATACACCAACTCCTTAGCATCACCTAACGAAGCGTACCGAGTTGCATTGATTTTTCTCGGAGGAAGCGATGACAGGGAGGCGCTTACCCTTGCGAAGCGCATGGCTAAGGACGCGTACATCAGCCTGACGGTGATTCGGTTAGTCGATGCATCCGGGGATGAAGACGGGAACAACAAATGGGAGTGGGTGCAGGACAATGAGATGTTGAAGGAAATGAAGTATAATGGCGCGGGGTACGTGAGTTATGTGGAGCAGATTGTAGAGGACGGGATTAAAACGACAAGGAAAATACGGTCGTTGATGGATGAAAGTGAATACGACATGTTCATAGTTGGGAGAAGATATAATGTGAGCAGCCCTCAGACTTCGGGTCTTGATCAATGGAGTGAGTTTCCGGAGCTTGGGGTTATTGGAGATATGCTTTCGTCGACGGACTCTCGCTGCAAATCTAGTGTCTTGGTCATTCAGCAACAACAACAACGTTAGATAACAAATTTCATACCTACTTTTTTGTTGTTTAGAGATAGGATTTTATTTTGTTTAGGGGACTTTCTTTGTTTTTTCTAATAGGATTTCTCACACTCACACTAGAAAAGTGTCATGGGGTTCGAACTAGTGACATATGATCTACAAATCAAAGCTATTTTCCTTTGGCTAGACTCCTTTGGCAATGTCTTCTTCTTACACCTATTTTTTTTAACCTAGAAATTTCAAAAATTTCCCCAAACTCATCTTATAATAAAAAAACAATAGTAATAACTAACTAGCTATTAGTCAGATAATTTAGGTTATTTACAAATGTCAAGTCCATCTTATTATATCCAAATCTTCTTTCAGAGAAGACAGATAAAAAAAAAAAAAAAAAGACAAAGCGCAACCCTATTATATTTAAATAGGAGTTTCACTAAAACAACCAAAATAGGGGTTAAAATTATAAAAAAAACCCAAGCACTATTTAAACATATAAACATACCCAAAATCCATCATTACACACACTCAAAACCCATTTATAAACACATCCAAAAAGTTGACTTTGAGGTTGATTTTGGGTGTATTTCTATGTTTAAATAGTGCTTGAATTTTTTTATAAATACATGTCTAGGATTGGGTTTATTTATAAATTTGTATATTTAAATTCTATATTAAAAAACCAAATATTTGCTTGCTAAAAGGAAAAGTTAAAAGAAAATATTAGCAGAAGTTGGAGAACCAAATACCCGCTACGGCCCATAATCGGCACTCACTCTACCGCGTCCCTTCCCTCTCTTCTCTCAGTCTCTGAGGTCACATTCATCAATTTTGGGACCATGAGAACTTGTAATTGCGAATCGGAGCCTGAGCCCATGGAATCAGACTCTCCTGGTAAACAAACACACAGGCTCTCTCTCTCTCTCTCTCTCTCTCTCAATAAGCTTGCTTGAATATGATATTTGTTCATCTAGCTACTGTAATCTGCTGTCTGAATGCTCAAGTAATTTACCGCTCAAATTCTTTTGCGTTTTTCACTCAGATGATTTTCGTCGAGACTCACTAGACTTTGATCACTGGACTTCACTCATTTCAGAGATAGAGACTGCATATTCTGTAAGCAAATTGCTTTCTTCTTCTTCTTCTTCTTCTTCCTCTCTCTCTCTCTCTCTCTCTCTCATTTTTTATTTCTTTATGAATGTTTGGTTGTGAAATTCTCTGCAGGATGACGTAGAGAAAATATCTTCAGTTTATGACTCGTTCTTGTCCGAGTTTCCGCTGTGCCATGGATACTGGAGGAGGTACGCTGATCATAAGGCCCGCTTATGCAGCGTTGACAAGGTTGTTCAAGTTTTCGAACGAGCGGTGCAATCAGCAACGTACTCTGTTCCCCTGTGGTTGGAGTACTGTAACTTCGCTGTGGCAGCTTTTGAAGACCCATCTGACATTCGCAGGTGATAACAATTAGCTTCCATAACAGTTTTCAGCTGCAAATTTCGAATACTTGGATTTCTTGCTTGGTGGGGCAAAAAGTATATCAATTTTGATGCAATTAATTATTAATTTTTTGTTTCTGTTTGAAATTCTTTGACAGATTATTTCAGAGAGGCATGTCTTTTGTTGGAAAGGATTACTCATGCCATACTTTGTGGGACAAATACATTGAATTTGAGTATTCTCAGCAGCAATGGAGTTTGCTGGCGCAGATTTACATCCAAGCACTTAGATTTCCTACCAAAAAGTTGCATCGTTATTACGAAAGGTATATCTCTTTGCATTGATTCTTTGGATCTTTAGAATTTTTAAAATGTAAGGAGAAAAATATGAAATCATCGTTATCAATGAAGTGGGTACACTCCATTACACTTCTGAAATACAACCTCATAAACTTTGATTTGCTCTTTCATTATAATTTCTTATTATTCAATGGTATTACTATGTATTTTTCTGAAGACCTTGATTTGCACGATTGTTGACAGTTTACCACAATCTCCCGTTTGCTGTTATGATTGATTTCTAATGACCGAGGTTTATGTTGTGTTTGCGGAATGCAACATTTTACGATTTTATGTCTTTTTCCCTCTTCTAGTTGAGCCATTCAGATGTTATTCTTACAAGGCATGAGTTCCATGTTTTCTTTAGTTTGAAGAAGTTCGGTGCCTCATGTGAAGAGGAGATGAAATGCCAGAGTAGTTCTACTGTAGATTTGCAATCAGAAACTGTGCTTGATAGTGAAGCCCCTACAACTTATAGAGATGATGAAATTGCTCTTGTTGCCAAAGACTTGCTTGATCCAGCAATTGGCTTAGAAAGGTCTAAAGCACTGCAAAAATACATATATGTCGGAAAGCAGTTGTATCAGGAAGCATGTCGGCTGGATGAAACAATTCGTACTTTTGAGATTAATATAAGGACGTCTTACTTCCATGTCAAGCCAATTGATGTGGGTCAGTTGGAGAATTGGCATCACTATCTGGACTTTGTTGAGATCCAAGGGGATTTTGACTGGGTATGATTCTATATTGTTCTTCTGCTTATGTGGCCTTGGCCTCTTGCCTTTCTTTATTGTTATTGTAACCCCCTTTATTCATTGAGTGTAGGCTGTTAAACTTTATGAGAGATGCTTGATTCCCTGTGCCAATTACCCTGAGTTTTGGATGCGTTATGTGGAATTCATGGAAATCAACGGAGGAAGAGAGATTGCAAACTATGCTCTTGACCGAGCAACCCAAATATTTATGAAGGTATTTTTCCTTGAAACCATTATTCTCCTGCTTCAAATTTAAAGGTATTTATGCTAAGTTTCATTAAGAATTGATGTAATCTGAAGAAGTTTTTGCACCAGTATTTCCCTTCACTATCCTGCTGCTATACATCAAGTAAATTGATAACTACTATATTTGATCCATTTTTCATATTTAGTTTTCTTTTATTGTTATGCATCATATGGAGCTTAGCTCCTTCTGTGATGTTAAAAAGCATGCTTAAAGAAAGTTAAATGAATTAAATCTGTTAAAATTTGCTTTAAGAGTCCATGACAAGAAAGACTACAACATGAATATACATCTAGTTTTAGGTGAGTCATATTTGTGGTAAAATGGTTTTATTGGCCAATCTAAAGACTATAATATTGGTAAGTTACAGGGTAATCGTCAATTTTTGTAGTCAGTGCACTGATGAATCCTACTGAGTTATATTTTCTGGGGTATCCTCTTTAGCGATTGAAGTGGAACCCTTCATAGCGTGAAATGGACCAGGAGATGTGGCACTTTTCTTAAGAATATGTGAATGTTGGGACATTTAACGGGCTTTCCAAAAATATTAACATTCTAAAGTTCGTTGGCTAAGCTTTATGTTTTTTGTGTTTTTTATGTTTTATTTTTTTATAGGATTTACCTATCTGGAACCAAACGGATATCTTTTTTTCTTAAGGTAGTTAAGAACATATGACTTGATTGTTCACCGTACTGGTTACCAGGGAATTGAGGCAAAGGTTTAATTTTCTTCCATGTAAGGATACACCCGGAACTCCTTATGGTTTGGATTATATTTATTAGACATATCTTTCTTTTGTAAAACCAATCCATTACACTAGGATTTGCTCCAAGAGCCATATATTTTGTCCTGAATCCTGTTGTTGGCAACTTACAGTAGTGCTATTGAGATTGACTATATTAGAGTTCTCCTGTAAAATTAGTATTAGAAACTATGTGACTAGTTTATGCCATGCTGAAACTTGCTCGATTGCTGCTTTCTATAGGATGCCTTGACTTGATTGCTTTGTACATGACTGGAGATGTTTATGGCCCTGCTCATATGTTCGTTGCAGAGACTGTCGGTGATTCATCTTTTCAATGCCAGGTTTAAGGAGAAAATAGGAGATGTATCTGGTGCCCGAGCTGCTTTTCCTAAATGTGATACAGAATCAGATTCCCAGTTTGTGAAGAATGTTATGTTAAAGGCTAATATGGAAAAACGTATGGTATGCAATTAGCTCTTTCATCACTTCAAGGAAATATCACCTGTACATATTGATTGGATCAAGAATGAGGACTAACACATGCAGATGGTTTTCCTACATTATCAGGGAAATTTCGCAGTAGCTTCCAATATATACAAAGAAGCACTAGAAATGGCGGCAGAGAAGAAAAAGTTGCATACTCTTCCTATTTTATATGCTCATTTTTCCCGACTTACCTACATGGTAGGTAATATATGAACTCAGGAAAATCCAGTTTCTCAGCGTTGGTGTAACATCAGTTATTTTATGTACATTTGGTTCTATTTCAGCTCTCTAGGTTTAAGTACTTAATGTCACTTAGGCTTATTAAGTAATTAGAAATGTTTGATTACACAGATTTCCATTTTTCTGTGTGCTTCCATTGCCCCCTTAATATTTTGACTTTTTAGGTGATTATTCCATCTTTAAGTGGTACATGAGTGCTCCAGCCAACTTGATATGACTGTTAACTTCTCCTTGCTTCCTGGTTATAGATGACTGATAGTGCAGATGCTGCCAGAGATGTCTTGATAGATGGCATCAAACACTTGCCTCATTGCAAATCACTTCTAGAGGTATATTTCTTCTTTTAGCATCTCTCATGACTATTAAAGCATTTCCAGATCGTAAAGGAAACCTGTTCTGGAAATACAGTCTGCACCAAACATCAATCTATAATTTAACCCTTGCCGCATTGCAGCATCATGATATAAGTCTAACTGCTATCGGAGACTAGTAAAGTTTCTTGGTTACGCGTGCAGGAGTTGATAAACTTTTCAATTATGCATGGAGGGAAGCGACACCTAAACGTGGTAGATTCTATTGTAGCCACTGCAATATCTCCACAGTCAAGTGTATCTGATGTTCTGAATGCAAAAGATGCAGAGGATATTTCAAGCTTATATTTAGAGGTTAAAATTTCTCTTTGAACTCATTTCTATGTATATGCTGGTCTTGGGAAAAATAGCAGATTGGCGTGAAAAGGTGTTACTTGTTGGTTTATGCCTCTCCAGATTTT